CGTCTCACGTGTTCAACTTCAACAATACTCCGTTCAATTACACACTCTCTGACTGCAGTTCAATTACTCATTACACTGTTGTCCCGTCACGTTGTGACCATCTTATATATATATACCAGACTAACACATATCTAGTAAATGCTAAGGCATTCATGAAGGAACAGGATATTTCTAGAAACAGGTGGCGTGATACTAGTCACGTGAACTCGCTGACGCAACAATATTTTATTGTTTTTTAAAAGTATCGGGAATAGTGAAATGGCTTTCTTTTCTATTGGCTCCTAAATTTATCTATTTTCATTTACGCGTTATGCTAAATGGAATCAAAACCAAAGCATTAAAACTTACAAAGATAAAAAAAAATGCAAAAACAGGAAAACATATCATAAATTATATTTACGATAATGTACATTTTCTTATAACAACACTAATACAGAAAACGACATTGACATAGAATCAATAAACTGTTTTAACCAAACTTTAAATTACGTGTTTTTTTATTGTATTTATTTCTTATCATTAGTCTAAATGTTCGTGGTTTAAAAACCAAGCAAATCTCTATTAACTCAGTAGTAAGAGATATTTATTACCAATCTTGGCGATTACAATGCTCAGTAGCTTTACAACTAATAATTCGAGAAATGGACGTGCAATACATGTGACGTAACTCTCGCGGTACGAGATTTCCCTGGATGATACCTGTGACGTAAAACCCTTCATTTTCACTTATCAATATTTCCAATCCACCAAACGCAGTATCTAATTTTGTTAAACACAAGAAGTAAATGAACATATTATAACATATATAATATATTAGGGATCATTTTCAATGGTAATAAAATAAACATTATTGAACATTGTTTACATAATTTCAAGACCCACATACACCTCTTTTATCGTGTTTTAAAACGTTGAAATCTAAGACCTGTTGTAGAGTGAAGAAGTTTGATTTTTGTTGAGCGCAAAGCCACGAAATGGGCTATCCGTAGTCTGCCCACCCCAGTTATCGAAACCGGGCTTTTAGCATTATAATTCCTTAGACTTACAACTAGTATTGATAAGGGGGAAAAAATTTGATGCTATTATCTCTTTTGGCATTTTTCTACGAACTTTATCGAACAGGTTTATGCTCTTTTACTTACCCACCATCTTTATCTAACAATGTTCGAAAATCTTTTAATGCTGATAAATGTAAGCGGTCCCTTACACTATAAAACTTTCATACTTTCGATAAATGTCTTGTAAGACAAATATAAAGTGTGTAAGGTATAGTTATCTCTTATAAATTTCAATAATAGTTTAGTACAGAAGAAATTATGACTCCAGTATGACAGTCTAGAAGAAACCGAAGTTTGGTGAGTCAGAAAGAGTTCAGTTAATAAGGAGTCGATCAAACCTGGTTTGGAGAACATAATACTCAATTCCTAAAAGACGTGTTTTATATGGTACTGATTGAATACATATTCTCCCAGAAAGTGCCGGTGAAAACATATGACTTCAAATCTTTCAAGCATCAAATAAATAAGTAAGAAAGTGGAAAACGTTGTAACAATTAATTTGACACGTCAGAACAAAGCAATGAAGCGTCAAATATTTGACTGTTATAAATACGTAACGTCTTCATCTGTAAGTTTGACTTTTAATGAGAAAAATTGGAATCGATATTTAATCATTTTAAGAAATGTTAAACTTTATCATCAATCCTGGTTACATACGTTTATTAAAATGTTCTACCATTGATACTATAATGCCTTCTTCGCGCAACCAGGATATTGTAAGTGATAGGTATAGTTTTAAAATATATCTTTTATCTCTTCAGATCTAGCCATTGGACGGGCGAGTGATTTTGTGCCTCCTCGGGCTTTGATGTTAGGCCTACCTGCCATCTGTGTTGCAAATTCCTTCTTCAGATTAAAGGTGAACATCTTGTACCTTTTGTAGAAGACACTTCTGGATTCAAGCGACCAACTCACAAGCTTCTGTAATGTTTTTTTTAAAAAATGTTGGTTCCTTAATTCCAACAGACTCCCTCTTAACAAGAAAACGACGTAGGGCTGGAAAATGTTAATCTTAAAAAAACGAGAGACTTTTTTGAAGTAAAATACGAATTTTAATCTCTACAACTGTAGAACTTTTAAAAAATGTAGATCACGTTGCACTCATATTTTGCGATAGTGTTAGCTTCTGTTTAAAACTGATAGTACGACAGATACATTGCATTTTTGATTTTATATAAAGCTACTCTAAAATAAAACACGTGCGGTTTGTAGAACCGCGCGTGGCCCAATGGTTAAAATGCCAGACTATGGATCTACAGGTTTCCCGATACTGCCATAAAAATCGCGCTTCGAACTTTGAGACCGTGGATGCGTTAGAATGTTGACTGGCGGTGAGTGTTGTTGACTAGCTACCTTCCCTCTAGTCTATCATTTCAAAATTATCGCAGATAGCCCTATAGCAGCTTTGCGTGAATATCTGAAAACAAAACAAAAAAAATACTTGTTTCTGTAGCGGCATGTTGTTAAAAAGGAAAGAACGCTTTGTCAGTTAAAATTTTTGAGCGGATAACATAAAAGATAGTTCAGAGTTTTCCTCTTTTCTTTTCCTTCTGTTAACTCTTGTTTCCACGTGAACTGGTGTTTTATTTTAACAGTTTATAATTTTATACAAAATTCTTATTACTCAGTTTCATATACGGTGCTAATTCATATAATTAGTGTTCTTTATTTTCCATTGTAAGTAGTAAGTACAATAAATGTCAGAATGATGAAAAAAGTACACACCTGCTATGATTGAATGAAATGGTCATTACTCGCCAATCCACTTTGATTTATCATTTCAATTTGTCACTCATTTCTTGTTTTCGTGCCCGTGTGTGCGTTTGTTTCTATTGACATTACAATTGTAAATTGTTATCAGATTTTTGTGTTTATCAACGTATTGTAAATAGCTGATGTAATGCTGCAAAGTTATGGTTCAGTAGGTTATTAAAAAGGCCCATCTAATTTTTAAATATATATTGTTTTCAAAATCTTTATTAATATTTGTAATATGTTTTTAGGACTGACAACAACTATACCCAGCAAATTAATGGCGAGGTCCTCTCATTCGACTTTTAACATTTACAGGTATTAGGTTTTGTTTACTTTGAAAGAAAACATTGGCTTTATAACGCAAAAAAAAAAAAAACAGTTTTCACCTATTTTGAAAAATTATGCATTTTATTATTTTCATAACTTGCTTCCCAGCCACTTAAAAAAAAATATATAATATATATTTTTACAATAGCACAGCAAAAACAAACAACAAGAAAGCTTCACTACAACGGGATTCCTTCTGTAAACTATCTTTATTAGTCACAAAAATTAATTGTTTAAAAAGAACTGAAACTAAAAGGAAAGTTATTTGTGTGTTTGTAAGAGAATTAAAAGAAAGAGGTAATTGAAATAATATAATAAAATACGACACACTGCATGCTAACTTATATCCTTTGTTAACGGTAACTCCTTTTTCAAAAACTATTCTTCCACCCATAAATATATTTTTTAGCATAGTGAAAGTGCGATTTGAGCCTAAATAGAAAAATCTGCTTGCTAAACCTAGCGCTAACTACACAGCCCTCAGATAAGCACTTTCACTAGTAACCTCAGCTTCTGATGGCTAGGTTAGTATTTACCTATATCGGGGCATGCCAGTGTCGCCTTATGCTACAAACTATTGTCTTTAACGCGCTACAATGTCAGCTTTTAAAATACAATAAAGTCAACTACGGGATTTTTACTGACATTAATAATAAAAAATTGTGTCACATTTTTGATGTAAAAGAGATGAGATGGCCGTGTAGATGCAATGAAAGAAGCAGGTAGTTCAAATTCTGTCGATATCATAGCCATGGGTATTTTAACAGGTATTTAATAATTAAATAACTAAAGACATACAACCATGCAGTTTTCAACATCTGGTAGCCCAACTGAAATAGTTTTTATTGACATGTCAGTAGACTTCTGTTTGTGTATTAATGGCTCTCAGCACGTCTAACCGATATTCGATTTCAGTTCAACAGTTACAGAGGCGATGACATCCATGATCCTGGTTTTTAGATTCGTGATGTTTTCTACATGTTTGCTATATACCATGTCCTTAACATACCCCCCAAAAAAGAAGTATAGTATAGTTATGTCTGGGAAACGGAAAGACTACGGAATTAGCCCACCCTGCAAGCCAAACGATGCATTGAGCCTATTCTTACACGGTAGCCATTTCACAGGGTAGCACTACTCACTAGAGTGAAAAAAAAAGTCAATAAAACTGTTTGAGTTGAGCTACGAGATGTTAAAACTGCACGGTAATATCTCTTTAGTTATTTAATTATTAAATTTTAAAATAGGAAACATAATTTTGGACCACCCTGTATCACTAGCCTAAAAGATGAATAGCAGGGGCACTCGATAAGAACAAGACTAATTACTTCGCAAACTCTGCAAAAAAGAGGCCCAATGACTCCAATCTTATATAAAGTAGAATTTGCTCCAGTGGCACTGCGGTAAGTCTACGGACTTATAACGCTAGAAACCGGGTTTCGATACTCATGGTGGGCATAACACAGGTGGCCTTTTGTGTAGCTTTGTGCTTAATTACAAACAAATAAAAAATAAAGTAGAATTCAGATCACAAATACCGAGATGAAAACGACTAAAGATGGCATCAAGCCTTCTGTTCGAGAGTACCAGTGTGTTTTTTTATTATTATTATTTTGAGAGATGACAGAAAAACCTTGAAATTGAAACTGCCTTTCATAAAGAAGGCCCAGCTCAAAGACCAAGAATGTGTTACATGGGAAACATAATAGGACGAAAATTTAAGTTATTTTTGGAAAATGTATGTAAATGTGTTTTTTATCAAATTATCTTTGCCAAGACGATCAGCACAATCATTGCCAAAGATTTCCATGTGTCCAGGAATCCAGAAGAATCTAACGTTGCATCAGTGTTGACACAATTGTAAGAAGAAGAAGTAATAGCCAAGAATAGCAAATTGCTGAAGAATGAGAGAAGGTAAGTATAGAGGACTGAGAATGTCCATTTGATACAATACAGTCTAGAAGAAGCAGGAGCATGGCCAATACCACTGAACAAATTCTGGAGTAGTCTGCAAGACGAAAACAATTAGAAATGTCTGTATCCTAGACAATAAAGCTTCTGGGATAATCAATCAATCCAAACAGTGTTAAAAACAGATTTAATATCCAAGAAAATGTCACTTGGAAAACATTTGTTTGTAAGGGCTATGGAGATTGATTCTGGAAGATTTGCTTAGCAGTGAAAGGCCTTTTTCTCTTTATGAAAACCAGATTGACTGGGAGTAAGAGGAGTAAAGTGAGATTGGCCATAAATTCAAGGTTCTTTGGCCACACAAGATAACAAGGAAATCGGATAAGAAGATGCCAATCTGGAAAGATCATTAGACTTCAGAATTGGACTGTTATTAACAGGTGGATAGCAGCCAGTAATTCAGACGTCATTGAACAACTTCAAGAGGAAAATGCGAGAAATCTTGTTCAGATAGAGTAACAGTACAGAATCATTGCCAGTAACTGCATCGTGCTAGTGTACGATGGTATAAATTTCAACCATGGTAAAAAGAGTATTCACCGAACTTAGGGTATCCTCAGCCAATTCCTCAAGAAACAGTGGGATGTGTATATGAAGAGATGAATATGTTTATTTGCCGACTTTCTTGAATAAGAATAATTCAAAAGTGTCACATTTTTCTTCAGCAGTGACTAGAAAGCTATATTCATGAAGCAAAACAAGGTTTTGAGGTCGAAGGCAAACATCATGATAACATCCAAAAATATTTCAATCCTGAGAAATAATGTTATCTTTGGTAAAAGTAGAGCAAAAAATGTCCATCTTGTCCATATTTGAGTTTGCTTATAATGATTGACTTTAACACAAGTAATTCAGTCGTTTTTCAGATTTGTCCTGACTAAAGTGTAGACGTGGTGGCGACGTAAAGCACTGAACTTTTTACATTTAGGGTTCCACCAGGGAACTCGTCAATGAAGCTTCCTAAGGAAACAATAGAGACGAGAAAATGGGTTTGCATTCTGAACTAGGATCTCACTAAACTTTCAGAGATGGTGATCTCAGCCATCCATCATTTCTACATTAAAACTCATAAAATCTAATAATTGCTCGGTTTGAGAACCTCGAACGACCGATTTGCAGCCAATTCTGACTGATTTAGTGACTAGTTGTCCAGAGAGAGAAATGATATGATGGAAAGATAGTTTAAGAAAAGACACAGACATAAGAATTCCCCCTGCTTAAAGATAAAAAAATGGCAAGAGTCCTAGCTTCAATTCTGTTATGTGTAGTTTTAATGTAGTCTATTAACCTGTCTCCAAGATATTTAGAGCATTGCTGGAAACCAGCTCAAGGGGTCCCACAATAGTCCACAGTTACACACTGCAGAGAAAACACTGTACAGTCCATTCAAAAATGACTTCCTCTACAAATGGAGCACCAAGCTTGATCGATACACTGACAAGCAAAACGCCCAGATCTTTGACACATATATAACTGAGTAGTATTGGATACAAAAGAACCAACATAAATTTTCTCAAAGCCTATGATAATAGAGAACTGGAGGTTTTGCCTTCAAATGTAAATACAACTCTTCTAGTGTGTATCAAAACACACTCTATGATATGTGAATGTCGTTAAACTGAAAGAATGTTGTACTGTTTTTTTGGAAAAGTTCGTTATTGAGTTCGTTGCTCTATAAAGTCCGGTGTAAGGTAATTCGGGAGAAGTGGGTGAAATTATTCCAAAATACACGGTGTAGAAACAAGAGTAGCGAGGTCAAATCTTCCAATTACTAAGCTGTGTAGTGAGATCAACACCATCACTACCACAGTTATTACTGAGGTGAGGATTACTTTTTTCAAGGCCTTAGCTATATGTAACTGATTGTAGTTACTGATTTGAATGTCACCAGAACGTAACAAGACAAATACTTGGACCAGATTAGGATGACCAAGAATAAATGTTTTGGGCCTGTGAAACAGGTGGAAGCATGTTCCCCACATTTGAAAAAGAGCCTGTAAAGCCTGACAACTTTTTATCTTATATTCTGGGGTTCACGTTTAGACTTAGTAGCGGTGCTAAAGGAATCAAGGATCAAGCGACAGAGGATAAGAATTATTTAAGGTAAATGAAGTTATCTTCAAGGGATTATCAACTTGGTCGTCGTTCATAAATTCCGTAGTTCGTGAAACCAATCCCGAATTTTTAATACTCAAAAACAGCTAAGTAAACTATAAGGGACGACTATAGAGGAAGAGAGAGTTAATATGACATAAAGAATTTTAAAAGTCCTAGGACTATTCACAGCGAATGTTTCAACGCAAATGACAGTCACAGAGCACGTAACTATTTCTCTTCCCGCCATTTTGAGAACTCGTAATTGACCTCGGGATGAGATTTGCTTTTTTTTTTACGGTGATTAAAACTACTGTGTGACTGGAGTGTGAAAACGCTCTTATATAACTGAATTTTCAGTTGAAGCGCCAAAACGCACACCTGGCTTCTTTTTCCCGTGCCCATAAATGACAAGTCCTCTCATGGTA